AAAGTTTTATTCAATGACACAAAACCACTTAATATGCATTTTCCAGTAAACAAAACCAACCGATTAATTGACTATCGAAGGTAGATTTAAGCTTCAAACGTACCAGTACAACGTGTGTAAATGACCCAAATTACGTGACTATGCTTATAGAATATTATTATTATTATTAACATGAATATGGCATGTGAATAATAGCCTGTCATATACATATATAAATAATTTTGTATATATATTTCTTTATTTTTGAAATTGTTTTACTATTCATCTGTCATTGTAGTTGTTATGCTGATACGGGAGGTTGGTCGGAGTGCAGGGTGGTTGAGGGATGAAGTTCAGCAAATTAACCACACAGCTTAGTAACTGCTGCAGTCAATAATAATAATAATAATCCGATAATAACATTATTGATGCGTATTTTCACAAGACGGATTCCTTCATGATTTTGACAGTGATTGCCAATGAATTTACCTACTCATAGTTTATGACTGTAATTACTATTTGCATTCTAACTCTCCAGTTAACTAGTATATCATAATAATAATTATTATTATTTCCTTCAATTCCTAGAGGAACATAGGGCTTCAGCAGTGCCTCTCCATTGCGTTCGGTTCTCTGCCAACGTTTTCACCTGGCTCCAAGTCTGCCCACACGCCTTCATCTCCTCTTCACATGACCTCCTCCAAGTCACCCTCGCACTGACGACCAACTCGCCGTTTCCCTTTCGGGTTCCACTCGAGCAATGGCTTGTCTAGTGATGTCACTTGATGGTCTCCTCAGAGTATGGCCAATCCATCTCCATTTCTTCCTGCCTATTTGTTTCACAATCCGTTCTTGGTTGGTTCGCTCCCAGAGGTCTCTGTTGCTGATCTTTTCGGGCCATCTGATCTTGAGTATTGAGCGAAGACAACTGTTAATGAAGGTCTGTAGTTTGTTTGAGATGCTCTTCATGACGCGCCAAGTCTCTGATCCATCCGTATAGTAGCACTGACTTCACATTGGAGTTGAAAATCCGGATCTTATTTTTGATGCTGACTGCTGTTGACCTCCACACAGACTTGAGAGTAGTGAAAGCTTGTCTTGCTTTCCCGATTCTTGTTTTGATATCCTCGTCAGTTCCGTCCGCCTGTAGTTGAAACGATGCTTCCTAGGTAGGTAAAGGAGGTTTTTTTCAGGTTCCTCCCATTTATGATGGTTGATTGTTATCTGTTGTTGTTGCTGTTGGTGGTGTTGGCCAGGAATCTTCATTACCTCTGTTTTCTCTATGTTCATCTGAAGTCCTATCTTTGATGCTTCTTCTGCCAACTTGTTGCTTTTCACTTGCATATCTTCAAGTTTGTGGAAAATCAGACATATAATTATAATAATAATAATAATTTTACTTTATTCTAGAAACAGTACTAGTGGTACAGTGTGGAATTTTAAGCACATATCTACAAAACTGCATCTAATTTTATCAAACATTTAAAAGGAGTATTTCAAAAAATAAATATCTATAAAAAAAACAAAACCAAAAAACACACAAAAGTAACAAAAAAAATGCGAACAAATACCAAGAAGTAGGAAGGAAAATAAACGGCATATAATAATATCTCAGTATTGGGTATTGGAAGCTATGATGTGGTTATGCATGGTGACAGTAAAGTTATAGTCATACAAGTAGTTATGAAATTATATTTAAGAATGTTTATCGCCAAGATGATCAGTTAATTTAGGTTGAAACAACGCTAAACAATCATAAAATAACATTTCAGGGTTTTTTTGTTTTTTATTATCAGGTCTAATGCAGTGTTTGTAGTGGTAGTGTGAGTAATCCTGCATAATACAAAATTTTAAGATGGTGATCATGGCGTTCACAACCAATGATTGTCAGTTAATATTGCCGAACAAAAAAACAACCACAAAAACTAATAATTACATGATGGTTAATGACAGGACAATTTTGTAATACTCATAGTGCTGATATAGTCGGAAACCAGTAGATACACAAAAGAAGGAATAGAATAAAGTACAAAAAAGCAAACCAATGTTAATAATTTAGGTAGTTAATTATGTTTAAGAAGGTGTTGACTATAGAATAAAAATAAGAGAGAAATAAAAGAGCCAAAATTATGTTATTAACAACAAAGCAAGTCATAGGTTTCGCGCTTAACATTGTCTCTGTCACTTAGAACACGGGCCAAATATGGTATCGTTGAGTTCCTATACCTGGTTGTACGAGCATATATTATTTTATACTGATTTCTGGTTCTACCTGATGAGAGAGAATAGAGGGGGTGTTGGGGGTCGGAGAGTATGGTTTTAGACCATTTTTCGCATGTATTCAGATGCCTTTCAACTAGTGTAGTGACGAGCTGACTGAGTTTTACACCACTGGTCCTACTATCTACCTTCAACATTCTTCTCAGGATGGTATAGTCCTTTCTCAGAAGCCCAGGAAAGACTAACGGGGAGCAGTAAAGTATAATAGGTAAGATAGGAGAGTTGACAAATTTTGAAAGTAGAGGTTGGGTGATTCCAGATTGTCTAAGTTTCTTAATGTAGTAGGTTAGGCGGAACACTTTCTTAGATGAGTAAAGCCAAGGTTATGAGTAGGCAGTTAAGTAAGGACGGCGGCAAGACAGTCGATGAGATTGTAAAGTTACTTCAAGTGAGAATGACATGTTTAAGACACGTGTTATTCATGCCAAGTCATCGTTTTCCTCATCTAGCAGTAATAGCTAACAAAGGATTAGGTTGAAAATGAGTTACGGGCGGTTAAATTAAAGTCTGGCATTAATCGACAAGGTACCTGACTTTCGGTTTGAGCTACACACACGGAGGTTTAGACTAACTGGGTGAGTTGCTTAAGATTTTAAGAGAACCAGTACCAGACTGGAGATTGTAAATGAAATGGCTCAAAATAGTTTTCACAGGCGCAGATATATTAACTCTTTGTAAACTCTAAGGTCGATTAAATTTTCATTTAAAACAATTAGTCCTCTTTATGAATTTAGATAAAGCAATAAGAAGACGTAATTTGCGAAAAACATTTCGAACAATCTCATCCAACACACACGGACTTGTCATAGGAATATATATGAAATTAATAAAGAGGTAAGAGGTGAAAAAATAGACTTAGTTCAAGTTAAAAGGAGGACATATTGAAGGTCAAAATAACAATGAAGACCACTAAACCAATTAGCAGAGGTAATAGCACATCTTCCCTGCCTGGTATCAAAACAAAATTTACCAAGGAAGGTTTAATGTGATGACGAATTGCTTTTGAACGCATAGAGGTGGTTTAAACTTCCTAACTGCCATCTAGGGCTTCCACAAACTTTAGGATACGCCCCAAACACGTTTACTAGATAAGTTTAAAAGATCTGTTAACATCAATTTTATTTCCTGTCTATATAACATGTTTCGTAATAGAGGAGCTAGGTCTCCTGTTCCCACCAATAATGGGTTCTGAAGATTCCATTTGTTTTTGGAGCCATTTAGGAATATGTTCTGAAGCCAGCCCTTACTTGCAGAGATCGATGAGTCCTCCCTATGTATGTGTGTGTGTCCACACGTACGTTCAAATTGGTAAATACAGTGGGATGTGACATCATTTTTTGCATGTACAAAGGGCTTAGATGGATGGATATATTGGCTTCACATTCTCAATTATTATGATATCAGCTGCATAAAAGCTTATGTTAAAAGCAGCGTTCAGTCTTTTTCTAGTTATCAAGCTGCTATACTCACCCATATAGGGTAGCTCGATGTACATGTCTTTCTTAGATGCGAGTTGGAGAGTGGGTCTGAGTGTTCTGACTACTTTATATCTGGATAATTGTTATCAACCAGAGTTTGTGTCAACTTTCTTTCTTCTTCGTCAAGTGTGTCTTCAGTGCATATTCGTTGGATTCTACTGAAGAGGCACCTTACTTAGGCTCTATTTGGTACCAGGCAGGGAAGATGTACTATTACCTCTGCTATTTGGTTTAGTGGTCTTCATTGTTATTTTGACCCTGAATATTTCCTTTCAACTTGACCTAAGTCTAGATTTTCTCATCTCTTGCCTCTTTATTAATTTCATATATATTCCTATGACAAGTCTGTGTGTTCTGGATCAGATTGTTCGAAATGTGTTGCGCAAATACAACATTACACGATTAAGACAAATTACGTCTTCTTATTGCTTTATCGAAATTGAAAAACTCAGACGCAAACTCAAATATATGATGAGTGATAGAGATTATGAAATTGTGATTGAAACATCGAATAAAGCTAGAGATGCGATGCTGAATAAATCAAAATTCACGCAAATTAGGAAATTCAACAAATTATTAGTAGAAAAGAAACTACAAAATCTTCAAGCCTCTAGCTTGAAGCCCCATATTCTACTGGGAACATGAAGGAAAAAATAGTGTTCTCTGAGCTGGTTGGTTTAGTTGAGGAGTCTTTTTCGTCCACCTTCCAGACAACATCTGCTTTCAGCGCAATTTTAAACATAAAGTGAACTGATTTAAACTTTCCACGAGTGATAGAATTGTGTCTCCTGGTAACCATCTTTACATTTGTATTGATCATTTTCTATTGACTTGGATTTTAAGCTTTCTCGTCACATGTGATTTACTTTTTATTAGTTGGTCTATATTAACATGTTTGTTAATTGCATATTCGTCTGAGTGCATGGCTTCTAGGAATTCCCTGGCATTACTTTTGGTGTTTCTAGACAAAGGAAACACTTTATGCTAAAAATTGCGCTGAAAGGGGATGTTGTCTAGGAAGGCGGACGACGAAAGCTCCACAACTAAACCAACCAGCTCAAAGAGAACACTACTAACTGCAAATCATCCACCTGAGCTACAAATCTTCTCTATTATCCCATTTTTGTATTTGTATTTCAGACTTTACCGGAAGGTTTATTTTTTGAACACCTTCTCTTTGAAAACCTGGGAAAGAATTTCACGAAACAGTTATTCAATAAAAAAAATATTATACTAAAGAATGCAATCTAATTTTGTACTTACCTCCAAATTATCTTGTGAAGCTTTTGAATTTATCTGTCTGAGGCAAAAATCTTTTTCCAATAAGTAACCGACGGTTATCTGTGAGAAGGAAAATAGAGGAAGCTGTATGTTAACATTCTCTTGTGGCGGTCTGTCTTCATGACGCTACACTAATCTGAATACCGTTGAAAACTAGACAACATTAGACAGACGGCTTGTTTATTCTACATGATATGTCATCAGTCAACATAGATTACTATTACCAAGTGAAAATCTAGGCATGTAAGACCTTGAGGATTAGATGCCAGTTTGTGTGACATCAAGCACGTGACATCATCCACGCCCGAACTTCAGATCTTCTAGAGTCTTCTTATCGGTGGTCCAGTGCATTCCTGTCTCCTGTCTACCCTAGGCATAGTCTGACGCATAATCCAGTCCACCACAATTAGGAATACCTTGGATAATAGTAGTGTGTGGCCTTACTCTTACTCCTGTCTTCACTTCAAGCGCCTCTCTGAGTTTTCTGTTGTGGATCACCTGACAGGTGGGATTGTTATATAGCGAGCTGTTGAGTGAGGTTGATTAAGATTTGGGGCAATACAATGCATAATGTTAAAGTAATTTTCAAACTACTTCACAGTCAACGCTTTGTAGTGTAATAATATGGTGAGTAATAATTTTTCTTACTTATTATAGCTTGATTCCAAACAGTAATTTAATTCAAGTATGGAGTTAGTACGCTTGCCGATAACGCACATGGTCCGGGGTTCGAACCTCGTCCGACGCACATCTGATATCAATGGTGAATCTGCTAAATTTGAGCTACCGATAAAAAATGCTGAAAATTCCATTGTTTTCTATTCCTTTACGTTCCCAGTGGAACATAGGGCTTCAAGTTAGAGTCTTGAAGTTTCGGTAGCAGAAGTGTTTATTATTTTTACGAGATGGGGTTGCTGCTGGCCTCATGCCCAACCTTACCTCTTTAACAATCTTATTACTGGTTTAGTGAGGTAAAGGAGTGAGTCAGTGGTCGGGTATAGAACCCTGGACCACATGTGTAGTCGGCGAGCATTCTGCCGCCATGCCACAGACGCAGGCGTAGAGTATTTGTTAACGAAGTAACGTCAATGGATGAATTTGTCAGAATTTGCATCGATTGTAACGACTTGGACACATTTTACTCCATCTTAACTATTCTTTCTTCCTATTGTATTGGTTTTATTGTGACTACTTTTGCATTCTCCCTATTATGTGTAGTTTTATGAACTGTCGAAAATCGAACTACTTCAATTCTACGTTAAAAAGTCATTTAACATCACGTTGGAAATGAACGCAATATATGAGGCAGTAGGCTAATTATAAGTTTCAAAGTATCCATCTTTCTGAAGTAAAGATATGACAATGGTTAGAGAATCATTGGAAAACCACTTGGGATTACTGCCAGACAGCTGTTTCGTCCCACTAGTTTGGAACTGGCTCTTCAGCATTACGCACCCACCACCAGGGTTCGAACCCACGATCTTCTGGTTACAAGGCCGGCGGGCTCGTAGACCATTCAGAGAAAATATATTGCACTGATCAAGGCACTCTACTCGAACTCATGCAGTCAGGTGAGGGCTTACAGTGAGTTGTCATCTGAAGTGGTGACAATTAGTGGTGTCCGTCAGGGATGCCCATTATCCCTATTTCTATTCAATTTCATCATAGATGTACTGATGGACTTAACCCTAACTCACTCCAAAGACTCAGGGATTGACTTGCTACCAGGGAAGCCACGTAGGAAGGTACAGACTTCCTGGTTGGGTACGGTAAAAGCCAATGGTCGGAAACAATTAGTGATATGGTTCAAAATCGTTCTCAATGGCTAGCGCAGATGCATCCACTCCTTGTGACTACTAGTTTTCAATGAAACTATATTGTTCTTCGTTATTACTATTTCTTTGTCTCGCACCTCTGTTACTGTCCATATTATGCATTTCTTCTACCTTCTTCTCTTGCTTTGTGTGCTACATGGAGGGAGTGTGGCGACTCGAACTGCCGCACATATGTGTAAAGTTCTATGTCGAAAACCGACCGATCGACGACCGACCAGGAAACTGCCTGATCTGATGCCCACTAGCGACTGGCACCATTGAGGTAGGTAGTTATCTGGGATTCTACTGGGAAGCCGTGACCAGTAGGGTAGAGTATGTCCAAGGTGAAGACAGTTACGCAGTGAAGAAGATATTGCGAAGTGGTCGTGCTATGTAATGAATTGGCAGAAGTTAAAATTCATCGACTGGCCACTGGATCGGGCTAGTGCTAATGCCTTAATGGTCTACGAGTTCGTCTTGTAATCACAACCATAGGTGCTGGGTTCTAACCCCAACCGATGGGTGTGTAGTGCTGAAGAGCCAGTCCCAACCTAGTGAGTCGAAACAACTGTCTGGCAGTACTCCCTGTTGGTTTTCCAATGGTTCTCTCTAACTGATGTCAGCTCATGATGAAATCCTCCAAACCAATCAAACAAAATCCCTACAAAACCAATACTTAAAGATATGACAATTATTCATCTATATTCATTCCATAAATCTCACAATAATTCTCTCATTGTTCATATATTTCCAACATATCACAAATAAACACTGAATAAGTAAGTTTTATGGTGTGATTTAAACACACACACACACACAACAAAATGTTCTTATGAGGTCATAGATTGTACTTTTAAAGTGTTATTTATTCAAAGAAAGCGTGATTTTATGTATATTTTTTTTCCTCAACCAAATTCAGCGGAATTATTTTTATAATAATAGAAGGAGAGAGAGAGAAAAGCGATCAATATTATCATGTGACCACAGAATCTTGTAGAAGAAAGAAGATAGGGACATAAATTCTAAGTATTTTATTTAAAGCGCGCAGAATAATTTATAGTTCAATGTTCAATTGAACAACACAAAAAATGACTGTTTTTAAATGATTAATGGATTAGTGGAAAATCAATAATGATTTTGAATGGATGGATGGTCAGATTATAATCTTAGTAAATGATACAAATATATGAATTTTTTAGCGAGTGGTCATAAGAAGTTTAATGACATTATATTAGTACATTTCTGTCAATTTCTTTGATCAGATGATGTAGAAATTCATAAGAGTTTGAATGGATTTCTGTGTGTTTTTCAAAACGCTTTTTAACTTTCCAAGGTAGAATTACAATCACCGTCAATGGGAGAGATTTGACTGAGGTTACTCCCTTCACTTATCTAGGCAGTTAGCATCATTTCAACCATAGACAGAGGAACGGATGAAGATGTCAAAGCTGGCCAGAATCGGAAAGGCGAGATACGTATTCATCACTCTGATATCAGTTTGGAAACCTTCTGAACTAAGCTTAAAGAACAAAATTCGCATTTTAAACACCAATTTCAAGTCGGTCCTTCTATATGGGTCACAAACTTGGACTGCGTGTCACAAAAATGATTTGCAACAGGTTTCAGACTTTCATCAACAGCTGGCTCCGCACTCAAGATCAAACGGTCAGCCAGTCGGTCAGAAAGAATTAGCAACAAGAATCTCTGGCTGAGAACAAACCAACAGGCGAGAGTCGGTCGCTCAGCAAATGTGTAGGAGAAGATGGAGATGGGTGGAGGATACGTTGAGGAGGCCGTCGATTGACATCTTGCGCAACGCAGGTCATTGTTCGAGTGGAATCCGAATGGGAAACAATGAGTGGCTCGTCGATGTGAGGGTGACATTGAGGAGATGTTGTGGCAAGGAAGAGATGAGAGATTATTGGCAATCGTGGGGCGATCTAAAGAGGCCTACAGAAAATAGAAGAATGTGGAGATGTGTTGTTGAAGCCCTCCCTATGTTCCACTCGAAACCCGAAGGAATAATGATAATAATTGCAATTGACAAGTATGAAAAAGGAAATTCAGCAAAAGATATCTTTTTCAATAATTTCCTCTTCTGGTTCTACAATTATATATGTTTATATACATAGAACATTCTAGAAAAGCCTTCATTAACAATATTGGGATCACCACTAGGACTCATTCTATCCAACATTTTCCTTACAAAACTAGAGAATGGGTCTTTGAAAGATGTAACTGATGAACTAGGATTCTACTGTCGGTACATGGATGATACATTTTTGATTATGAAAAATGAGGATGAAGCAAAGTACATTCTGGATAAATTTAACGATGCTCATCCTGCAATAAATTTTACTTATGAGAAATAAAAAGACTCTAGTATTTCATTCCTAGACACCCTTATGATCGGAGAAGAGGAGGGTACAATAAAAAGAAGTGTATATAGAAAAACCTACATCAACTGGCATTTCGGCTTTCATCAAAAACTGTTTTCTCTCCGTCGATATTAAAGAAACGACGCAAAAGATAGGCAATGAGGAACCTTAGCTGCGAATCAGCCTGCAAATTATCACCCAGGAAACATGTTAAAGGAAATACAGATGGTTACAGGATTTCATCATGAGCTGACATCGGTTACAGAACCATTGGAAAACTAAAGGGGAGTACTGCCAGACAGCTGTTTCGTCCCACTAGTTTTCAACTAACCCTTCAGCAGTACGCACCCAACGACAGGGCTAGAACCCAGGACCTTCTGGTTACAAGCTACTGGGACTCGATCCGATGGCCCATGAATTCTAACTTCTGCCGATTCATGACAATGCACGGCAGCTAGCCAGAATTCGGAATACATGGGCCATTGGATCGGGTCCCATTGGCTTAATGGTCTACGAGCTCGCCAGTCTTGTAACCAGAAGGTCATGGGTTCTAATCCTGGGGGTGTGTGCGTGCTGCTGAAGAGCCGGTCCAAAACTAGTGGGACGAAACAGCTGTCTGGCAGTACTCCCTGCAGGTTTTCAAATGTTCCCCTAACCGACGTCATGATGAAACCCATAACCAATCAATCAAATCCCGACAAACCAATATTTGAAATAGAAGTGGATTGGACAAACTCTGAGAACACCTTCATAGGACTATTCATGCCAGGTCCTCGAGTGGAATTCCATTGGGAAGCAGTGAATTGGGTGCCCTAAAGTAACACAGAGAACAATACCACTTGGAGGGAGGAAGTCAAGGCTTGTAGGCATTTGTGTAGCTAGAGGATCAACTGGAAGAGAAGTATACTTCTAATGAAGCCTTATAATCTACTCGAAACTCGACGAATGAATGATTCTCATTAAGTATTAAAAAAGTTAATATACCTAGGAAAGTTTTTTCTGTTTATACTCACCTTTTCTAATTTATCTGGATGTACTGTCAGGTTGATTTGTGGTTTATAAAACTCTTCAAAATCAGCTTTATTCATCTTAGTGATTGTTGTTTCATTAGAATATTCATTCGTATTTACTATGACGTCATGATCCTCTATAGCCGTCAAATTGTCTTCACCACTATTCACTGTTGCCTCCTTAATCCCATCTGTTCTTCTCCTGAATCTTAGATTCTCTGGATATTTTGCTTTAATACAAATAGCTACAGGTATGCTATTTGTACAGCGTAAGTAAATTTTCCTTTCAAGAACTATACTACTCATGAGTAGATTTTCAGCTTCATAATCAGATGGAGTCAAACTTCGTTGTAGTGGCTGTTCCACGTCATGTTTTGTTAGAATAGAATGAGAACTTGGAGTGTTGTGTTTTGAATTGAGATTATTCTGCATATTTTTCATTGCAGATGAAACACTTAGAAATTGGCCAAATCCTGATTTAAAGTGTAAAGTGATTGGTTGTGAAGATGGAAGAGATGCGTGCGTATTGTCAATTTCTAGAGGATCATCGTTGAGGTCAATCAAAAGTCTATCATAGAACAAAAGAATAAGAGGATATAGTTATTAATAGAAAGATTTAGGTGCAAACATCTTTCATGGACATATAAAATAGTTTTTAAAAGTTTGTTTGTAGGGATTTGTTTTGTTTCAAATTTGATAACGGATTGATATTAGTTAGCGAATCATTGAAAACCAGGAAGTGCTGCATAGCTGTTTTGTCCTAGTCTGGGACTCATCGGCAGCAAGTATACGCCAAAGTTCGAAGCCAGGACCTTCCGGTTACAAGGGAGGCTTGTAAACTATTCAGCCACTGTAACCCGATTTAATCACCAGCCCATGAATGCTTACTTCTACTGATTCGTGACCACCAGCGAGTAAGTATCCTCACTCCTGACCGAGTGGACCCCATTAACCACGACTTTTCATTTGAGCTCCAGGCAACTTCGTCCCGTCGACTGACTGGACTGAGGTGCTCGGTCTCAGCTTGACATGTCGGCTTCTACTGCAGATGCTTCGACGATGTCTGGGCATGTAATTAAAAGTTTATTGATGGATGGTGACTAGCAGCGGAATCCACCAGGATGCACATTTCCTCCTATTTGGGACTCGTTAGCTAACCGGATGTACCTGCATTCCTCAGTGAGAGGCTCGAACCTAGTGCTCATAGTTTCAAGAACCGAAGCGTCATCCACTACACCACTTAGGCCACGAGAACCACCTCTTGTTCAAAGGGTCATATTAATTATAGAATTGAATTTTAGGTTTTCCCGTCGATTAACTGGATCGAAGTGCTCGGTCTCAGGTGCACTCGGTTCGAGCCTCACTGGGAACATCATCACTCACTGGACAATGCAGGTACATCCAGTTGACGAGTCCCAAATATTACGAAGTGTGCATCCTGGATTCCACTTCTAGTCACCATCCACCAGTTAAAATCTCTGTGCTTGTAATATGACAGATGTGTTGTTAATTTGTTACAATTGTTAGGGGAAAAAATTCAAGGACTCATATGACTAAGGTAGCTGAACTACGGAATCCAAGGATGTATATTTTATCCAGTACGAAGGGAAGCTCAAAAAGACACCCTGTTCAAATGCGCACCCATTGAAACAAAACCTAAAACACCTCAGTCGTCCTTTTTCTTCTTCATCTTCAGTCTTTTTGAATTCCTAGTGGTAAATATAGTTTCAGTCTATACGAAGTTTCAGCAGTGTCGATAGTGTTTTTTCAACGATGAGATTGATAGTCTAGTGCCCAAACGTCCTCTTGTAGTAGGATTACAATCGACCAGTAAACCAGGAGAGATTTAAGACCAAGTGTGTGGTTGAAGAGCATTCTGCCAGTGAGCCACTGACATACCACTACAAACCGAATAATTCTACAATGAATGTTTTATAAATGTTATTTGCAGGCTTGATTACAAGCTGAAATCAGTTACAGAACCATTGGAAACCAACTGGGAGTCCCGGAGAGTTACCTCCTCCTATTTTGGGACTCATCATCAGTGTGCACCCACCACTAAGTTTCGAACTCAGGACCTTCCGGTTACACGGCGAGCTTGTAGACAATTCAGCCACTGGGACCCGATCATCTGACCAGTGCACTTCGTGTCAACTCGTGGTGTATATAGCGCAACCATCAGCCCGTATTAAACGCGAATAACTGACCTCTTATCTGACACAGTAGACCTGTCTGGTTACGATTTCTCACTAAAACTCCAGGTAACCTTCTGTATACAGCCAGTCACCAGTGAGGATCAGATGAGTTATCACGTGCTGGTTTGCAGGGACCTGTTAGTTACAGATTTGTTCACGATCTGATATCGCGCTATACATGTCGCGAATTCGCAAAAGTTTGAATTCATGGGCTGGTCATTCAATCGAGTCCCAATGGCTGAAAGTTCTACCATCTCGCCTTGCAACTGGAAGATCCTGGGTTTCTAGCCCTAATGGTGGGTGTATACGGATGAAGAGTGCCGGACTAGGACAAGACAGCTTCCCAGTACTCCCAGTTGGTTTCCAATGGTTCTCTAACCGATTGTAGCTTGTGGTTGAACCTGTAACCAGGGGAATCCCTACAAACCATAGCCTGATATTTATTATTTGTCACGATTCAATGATTGCCTGATTTCCCACAAACTGGAAGATATGCAAGTGAAAAGTAACAAGTTGGCAGAAGAAGCATCAAAGATAGGACTCCAGGCGAACATAGATAAAACAGAGGTGATGAAGATCCCTGGCCAACACCACCACCAACAACAACAGACAGCAATCAGCATAAATGGAAAGAACCTGAAAGAAACTACCTCCTTTACCTACTTGGGAAGCATTGTTTCAACTACAGGCGGAACTGACGAGGATATCAAAGCAAGGATCGGGAAAGCAAGGCAAGCTTTCATTACTCTCAAGTCTGTGTGGAGGTCAACAGTATTCAGCGTCAAAAATAAGATCGGGATTTTCAACTCCAATACGAAGTCAGTACTACTATACGGATCAGAGACTTGGCGTGTCACAAAAAGCACCTCAAACAAGCTACAGACCTTCATTAACAGATGTCTTCGCTCAATACTCAAGATCAGATGGCCGGAAAGGATCAGCAACAAAGATCTCTGGGAGCGAACCAACCAGGAACCAATTGTGAAACAAATAGGCAGGAAGAAATGAAGATGGATTGGCCACACTCTGAGGAAACCATCAAGTGACATCATTAGACAAGCCATCACTCGAGTAGAACCCGAAAGGGAAGCGGCGAGTTGGTCGTCAGTGCAAGGGTGACCTGGAGGAGATCATGTGAAGAGGAGATGAAAGCATGTGGGCAGACCTGGAGCCAGGTGAAAACTCTAGCAGAGAACCGAACGCAATGGAGACGCATGGCTGAAGCCCTATGTTCCTCTAGGAACTAAAGGAAATAATAATAATGATTGCCTCCCACCGAATGTATACAGCATACTGATATTCCTTAATAATTATTCATTTCAGTATCTGTTTTAGGTGTAACACAGGTTATGCCGTTATGACAAAACAAAAAAATTAGGTTATTTTTAGGTCACTTATACAAAACTTGATGTTCATAAGTGCTGAATGGATACCAGCATTTTCAAGGTCGTTGAAATAATCAATTGTATCTATACTATGTACAACGAATTGTTATGTGATAAAAGTATTGAAGGGATATATGAAAATATCTGTGACCTTGCTATCAAAATTGTGTGATATTTTCAGGGAAATGTAAAACAAATAAGGATAAAACTTGGGCACTGTGGTAGAATATAACCTACAATATGGATAAAACATCTTTCTCAAACTATTGATTTTGAGAAGCCTAATTTGATGACAACGTAGAAATACACGATGAAATTACTGGAAAGCAATTTCACAACATTGTCGTTTTCGACGTCATATATGATGTTAAACAGGTTGAGAATTGTGATTTAGAGATATTTGGCGTTTCTGGCGGAAACGGAAGTAGATTTTCACTAACAGCAAGTATTTAATGTCTGGAAGCCTAGCTGATGAGAAAACTGTTAGGCATGACACGATCACCTTACTGCGGCACTCTAACAAATGGTTCCCATTAGCTTTTGTTCTCCTTTCTTTGCTATTATCATATTGTTGCTCCTATATTCTATTACACACTAATTTTATATTTCATATCCTGTGGTGCATTGCTTAAATATGTGAATGCAAAGCTGTTCTTTTTTATTTCTCTTTTTTTCTTTTTGTTGTTGTTGCTTTTGATTTTTAAATCCTTATAAAATTTATGAGGTAATTAGATGCAATATTGTAATGAACGCTGAAAATTCCATACCTGTACCACAAATACTGTTTAGAATAAAGCTATTATTATTACTGTATTCTGCATATTCCCAGCTGATTCAAACACCCAACCGGAATTCAAGAAGTTTGAATTTTATCACATCTGTGATCTGAGTCAGCCCGTGTATAAAACTGACGAACTTGACTTAAAAACACATAAACTTACATCGAGTGTTTAGAGTACCACAACCTGCCTGGTAAACAATACTAGTTGAAGTTAGCGGTTTTAACCAATTCCGCAAATGAGTAGTCTATACTTTCCTGCAACACTCAGCAATTTCCCATTTTTTTGTGATCGATTACGTCAGTCTCATTGCAATTCTTCTACTGAGCACATATAATTTCACAGAGAAATAATTTTATTCGCTTATAGGACACAGTGACTTCGAAAGGCTTTTGACTGTGTAGACCGAGAAGTAATTTGGAAACTCCTTCAACACTACGGCATACCTCAAGTCTTTCTCAACCTCATTCAACAGCTTTCTATATATGACAGTGCCACATGTCAAGTGATCCACAACGGAAAACTCAGCGAGTCGTTCGAAGTGCACATAGGAGGAATACATGCTGGCTGCGTGCATATTATCATTTACGATGATATTGTTAATTGTAGTAAAATGAATTATGCGGCAGACTGTGGGCGGCGGGGAGACAGGAATACGCTGGACTAACGATAAGAAGACTCTAGAATATCTGGATTTCGCATGCGGATGATTTATGTCTGATGTCACACAAACTCGAAGACCTGCAAGTGTAAACTAACAAACTGGATGAAGAGTCAGCGAAAATAGGACTCCAGGTGAACACAGAAAAGATGGAGGTGATGAAGGTAACTAATCAACATCAACAACAATCAGAACCAATCACCATCATCGAGAGAGATTTAACAGAGGTTGCCTCCTACACTTATCTGGGAAGCATCATTTAAATTACCGACAGTCGGCAGAAAACAGAACAAAACGAAAATGTGTTGTTGAAGACCTATGTTTCACTCGGAACGCAACGAAATAATAATCACATTATAATATAATAGGACACAGCATTATTTTCTTTACAGGCAACATTTCGAGCACAATTTATTAATCACACTCATACGGAGGTGTACTGACATAGTTCTTTGAGATAAATAATCTCAGCGCGTGTTTACCAAAAAATCGAAACAAGATGTTTCTGAATGTTTTTCTGTATAACCCACCACAGAATCCTCAGCAGG